GTCTCCTACCATAGCATCCCTTTTAATTCAGATTGCGACGTATAGTGCGAGCTGACACAGTTGTACCCTGTGCCTGAAGGTCAGCTTGAATTTGTCTGGAAGTTGATTGAGGTTCTTTGTCCACCATTCAAACAATCCTTCATTGCAATCTTTGATCAAGTTTTTCTCTTTTGTCATGTTCAGAGAGATTAGCTACAGTCCAATGGGCTGTAAACGTCTTGACAATGTTGTGCACAGTGGACACAGGAACACTAAGATCTGTTAATTGATACAGGTGGTTTAATTACAAATTACAGGAGAATCACAAACTTGCAATTATTTCTTACAATTTTGAGAAGTTGCCAATAATTTTGTCCAGTCTATTTTTGGGGTTTTGTGTGGAATGTGTGAGATTTGTTTGTTTTTTTGTTTCTCCCCTTTTTTGTGTCATACCAATACAAACAAAAGAAATAAACACGAGAACGCCTAAACATTTTTAATTGCAACAATTTTCTGGGCAAAGTGCTGCAATATCTGACAGAAATGCAGGGGTGCCAATATCACCTCTGGGGACTGCCCTGTAGGGGGAGGTGGAGAGGTCAGGACTGAGGAAGATGCCTACCCCTTCCACTGCTCTGCACTTGCTGTCCTGATTGACCTCCCATTGTGCCTATGTACAGTTCGGTGGAACTGATCTGACAGCCTTTCTCAACCAGGATGTCTCGATACCCCTGACAAACATACACACACATTGGTAATGGGGAGGTAGTAACCAGGGAGGGCAAAAATATAAGAATAAACTTTAGCCTTAAACAATATGTAAACTCAACATTTCGTATTCCTGATATGTGTCTGCTATACCATGTACTTGTGTGAAAAAGTATCTTGTTGTCTTTGTTTTGCTTCCTTTGTGTGATATCCCTGGTGCTCCTGCCAGTGTCTCTGCTTTCCTATTATAAACTGACCACACTAGGCAGGAAAGCACACCATGGTCAGTTCTCTAGCTCTGCTGGGAACTCAGCCTGTTCTCCTCCAGTGATCAGACTTGCCTGACATGCCCCCCTTGCATAGCTGTTCACTGGAAAGATCAGTGTGCTGCTATTTCACCTCCCCTAGCTCTTATGCAGCTAAGAACAGGGGTTTGTGATCACTTACAAAGAAAAAAGAAAAGTAAGAAAGGGGTGGGGGGGGTGTTTATAAAAAAAAATGTTTTATATACTTATACACAAATGTTTTGCATCTCATTTCGATTTTAAACTGAAAGGGTTGTTTTACAAGGGAGTGTTTAAAGCAGAATTAAAAGCAATACTTTTTGTTTTCCATTCTGGATAGGGTATTGAAGGGTTTTAACCCATATCAAGTTTTTTGCCTTCTGTGTCCCATTGGGGAGATTTCCCTTGACATCCTGTACCACAGCCAAAACAGGAAATGAGAGAAAATCCCTCCAAAGTGAGGGAATCCCTGGTTGTAAGCAAAAATTAGTGTCCCTATTAGAAGATTTCCCTTCTATTCTTGTTCTCCTGACAACCTAAAATTTGGGATTTTACTTTTAGGGCTCGTTCACACTTGGCTGTTTTACCAATGCTTGCTAAACGCCCCTTAGCCCCTATAGCGTTCGGCAAGTGTTGGTCCGGCGTTTGCGGAGCGTTTTTTAACGCTCCCCAAGCGCGGTTTAGCGTCTGTTGCTAGGCATTTGCCGGGCGTTAAAAACGACCCACAAACGCCTATAATGCAGTTTGAATGGTGTTATCGCTCCGCGACGCAACCGCACCGCAAACGCCGGCCGGGCGTTTGCGGAGCGGCACCATACACTAGAATAGAAGGCTTCAACGCCTCCTGACTCGACCAGAGGCGTCCGTTTTGCCACGACGCAAACGCTCCCGTTAGAACAGCATCATGTGCTGTAATGTGCAGAATTGGCAGAGGCGTTTGGGAAGTGGTAAAAACACTTCCCAAACGCCTCTCTGTCGCCTGCACTCAACGCTAGTGTGAACGTAGCCTTACTCTCAGTGATACCAGTATAATTTTATTTTTTGTTTTTACAGTATATTTGTTGATCGGGGGTGAAATCTCAGGCTCCTGCAGACTGTAAGTCTAGTTGTCTGCCTGGACCTCATGGGCATGCAGTTGTTGAATGGCAGGAAGCATCAATGAACTACTTAGAGCGCTCATCAGCACCCTGTTAGTTCATTGAGAAATAAAAGAGCTTGGCCACAATGGCTGATGGGAGTTGGAGTTCTTCCATTCACAGAATTCTGTGATTGAATGATGTGGCCAGGTGGGCAGAGCCCTGCATGGTTGCTTTTGAAAAAAAAAAATTGTTACAACAGGTGCAGGGAGAAGATCCCGGAACCGCTATCACATGGAGGGGAGATGCAGGGGCTGCTGCATCAGTAACATGTTACATGTTAGACCCTGAATACAGGTGTAACATGTTAAGAAAGGTGAACTTGGTCTTTAAGATCAAAGGAGTTTAGCTTTCATTGAGAAGTATTCCTTTTATGGCGGTTTTAAAAAGAAATAAAATTAGGTTTACACCCCGGTCACATCAAACCTGATTTTGAAATCGTGCGACTTACAGTGAAGTCGCTCAATTTCAAAATTGGGTGACCTGACGATTTTCCTTGCGATTTTCAAGACATCTGACACAGATGTCTATGCAAAGCGCAACAAAAGTAGTGCATGTACTATAGAAATCGGTGCAGCTCCGACCAAGTCGGAAACGCACCGGTAAAGACCGCTCTAATAGCGGACAATAGGGTGCAACTTGGCATACGATTTGCAAGTCGCCTGGCATGCAAATTGCATGCCAAATCGCACCCGATGTGACCGGGGGCTTAGGATCACTTTAAATGTGATACTGTTTTAAAATACCTTTTAGAGCTGTGTTTTTTTATGTTGAAAAAAGGCGGAACTTCATTTTTAATTTTTTTTTGAAGTGGGAATGTTTAAATCTCTGTTAGATCTTTTTTTTGCTGTTTTTGGCCCCACTGGAGTGGTTCATCAAACTTCCTTTCTCTGTGATGACTGCATCAACAGGACGGTAAATGTCCTCACTGGGGCCACAGATAAAAATGAGGTTTTAAACATCCCCCAATTTATGGAAAACTATGAAGACACCTGACTTGAGTTGCACTTCAATCAACTATGTATAAAAAGTCAGTGTTTTCCAAGTTACCCTATCTCAAGTACTTCCTTTTTGGACACGTTATTTACAAATAAGTATCCAACAAAGCATTGCATGATTAAAACACCAGCAACGTCTCATAACAGGTTAAGTGTCGTACAAGAGGGGACACACAGAGTACCACAATATACAGAGTACAAGAGTACCAAATGAGTGTCATATACTGAATATCAGTAAGGAAGGTGTTCTCAAATATGGTGAGGTCCAGCTAATGGCTATATTAAAGGGAGGAAAATAAAGCCACATTGGTCGTTGAGAAGAAAGCAGCTGTGGAAGCTGAGGTAGTAAGCAGAGATGTCTCCAAATTCCAGTACTGTTAGTTATCAGTCATCCCGGTAGTACATGCTCAGTTGGACACCTGATTGTCTAAGGAGGAGATGAGAGGGTCAAGAGAACAGGAAAAATGAGAGAATTCAGATTAGGACACGGGGAGAAGGGGAAGAAGGAGGGTGTGGGTGGAGTGTCATGCTGGAGAACGCACAGAAAAGGTAGAGGCTGAGAGAATTCAGTCCCCAGTGGGGACCTAAAGCCCCTTTCACATGGGTGGACTGGTCAGGTCTGCCTGTCTGTTTGTTTTGACGGACACAATGGGCCTCTCTATTGCCCGCTATGCAGTGGCAGATGTCAACAGATGTGTCCATCGACACCCGCCAGCATCCGATCTGATCCTGTCCACTAAAAATACACAGGTGGTCCATTTCCATCTGACCGCTCTATAGAGGTGAGCAGGCTGTGTCCGTTCTGCATAAGTGGAGTCGACATGGACCTGTCATCTGTCTGTTCAGTGGGGATCAATGGACAGATTCCCTGCTGAGCAGGCGGATCCGTTGCCGGAGTCCATCCCATGTGAATGGGGTCTTATAGTGTGCTGTGCATACATGTTTTTCAAATAATTAGCGTTGATTAAATAATTGAAAATGCTTTCCTTTTTGTATATTGTTATATTGTTTATCATTTGCCAGAATGTTATTCTGATAAAGGATTTAGACAGCTGGCTATTCCTATGGACCTATTAGATGTAGCCCCATGGGATACACCTGTCACTAGTTTAAAACCTGTGACTAGAGTATTATTTCTCAAATTCTGGTCCTTGGGGGACAACTGACAAGTCCTAGCAGGTCCTATGTATGAAGTATCTAAAAGAAGACCAGATTTTGTTTTCTTCCAGGCAGTCAGTCAGCTTCTTAATTTTTTTTTTCTGTTTCAATCATTTTTATTCACATTTTGAACTGTAAGACAGTGATACCTTCATTTCTATTCTAACTTGGTGTAGTGGCAAGAAATGGAGAAGCTGATGACTTAGCAGGAGAAGAATCCAAAGGATATACTATGGGGTTGATTTACTAAAACTGGAGAGTGCAAAATCTACTGGAGCCGTGCATTGGGGCCTATCAGCTTATAACTTCAACTTTGATATAACCTGAAAGTCGATTGGTTTCTATGCAGAGCTGCACCAGATTTTGCTCACTCCAGTTTTAGTAAATCAACCACTACAAGTCTTGCCAATGTATCTACAAGAGCCGGGAAAGTACTCAGTGGTTGCTGTTGCTCTATGGTACTGTCGCTTTCTTGCCATAAATATTGCACTTCACATTACCACTTGTATTGTTCTGCATTTTGCTAGCTCTTGTTATCTGCACTAAGATACATCATTAACCAAACAAGCTATACTTTGACTGAAAACATTTTAATCCATGTTTTCAGGAGTAGCCTTGCACTTTCTATTTCCTTTACTATAAAGTTGTAAGTGTGCTATTCTGATATACCTGTTTTTGCATTGAGTTGACAATCTGCTTCTTTGATGCTTACTTTTTCAGGCCAGATTCTGCTCGGAATGTTCAGTCGTCTTTCTGGCCTTGCTAACACAGTCCTACATGAACTGTCTGGAGATGGAGAAGGATCTGAAAATGTACAGGAGTCTGTGAGTAATGCCCTTATTTATAGTCTTGCGGATGATGAATAAAGCCTAGGTCAGTCATGCAGAAATTGACTCACGGCCTATTCACACTTTAGCTTTTCTGTTTGGTGCATTAATGCACAAGCATTAACCTGCATAATGAATAAGCTGGCAACGCATCACTAGGGATGAAAATGAGGTACATGACCCTTTTTGAAAAAAAGCAGAGCGCTACAACACATTTCATATGCACTGTGATACATTGCAGTATATTGGACTGTATTGTACAATGCTTTGGAGTGTATTTGACAATGAATAGCAATTCATTGCACATGGAGTGCCGTTGATGCATGCATTTTAGCAGTGTTGCCACAGATCACAAGTGTGAATAGGCCTTCAAACTATAATATGTGTTTCTCACAGTTTGTCCTGGGCAGTAACTATTTTAGATACTGTGGATATCTAAAACATGTATGCTAACGTCCCTTACCAGGATGTTTTAGTTGTACTTTTGTACCTTTTTGAATCAAAGACAGCCTGATTTGCTTACATTATACCCAGTCATGACCATTAAAAAAGCCATAACAAAATGAAGGAAAGCACTGCTTTCATTAACTAGGAAAAATGTCTAATGTATGGAATGTTTCTGCCATTTTTCCATAGGAGGTGCCCATTGAAATAATTTGTCATAGAAATAGGGCTTTCTTGTTGTATATGATTCTATAAATCCAGGTTAGCTAGTTATGTCCAGAGTCACTTCTAATCTTAGTGTTTTGGATGTAAAAGGTAATTTTGTAGCTTATCGATAGTGCTAGTTTCAAAATCATCTTTAAACGCTTTCCATTTTTCTTGGTTTATAAAGCAGATCTGTAATGACATAGTTAAGACACTTCTCCTTTTTTTTTTTTTTTTTTTTAGTCAGTTACATATTAAAGTGGTATTATGCCAAAACCAAAAATGTATTATATTGCAGCTTACCAATCGTAAGATGTGGTGGTGGCATTTTTCTTTTTTTAGGATTTTTTTCACCTGGTCATCTGGCCAGTAAAACCCCTCCTGTATTAAAATCCCAAAGCCAAAATACTTTGAACCAGAAATGACTGAGCCATAGACAGGACCACCAGATAATGAAGAACATCTCTTGTCTGGAAGGCACCAGGTAGCACTTGGTTAACACATTATACGCCTACTCAATGGTGGTGACATTAACAGTGCAAGCAGCAATAGTATTCCAAATATCTTGCCAATCTTTTTCAGATTTAATGGCTTTTAGATCATCTTCCCATTTTGCTACATACTGTAGTTGTGCATAGAAGATGCGGGTAGTCTACTAAGGTGGGAGTTCACTATGGAGATTAATTAGGGCTCCTATGTAATCTATCGCTGTCTAGATCAGAAGATCAGGGGTTTTCACACTTTTCCCAGTGAGGCTTCACCATAGTAAATGTCAAACCCAAGACTAAAATATTGCTCAATTTTATTGTAGAATACAGATCTGCAACAGTAAGATAAAAATAATATACTTTAAAATGTAAAAGTATCTTGTCGATTTTGCACCCCTCAGATTCCCCCTATGCATTTGGTGGCTTGCAGTCTTTACCACACCCGTGATAAAAGCCCCCTTCACCAGGGGTTTAGATAATTTTTAAGTTTTGTGGACAGAGATTTTTGACAGGCAAAAACAATGCCCCCCATCCTTTCCATTGGCAGCGGCCAACAAAAATGCCCGTCTTCAATACCCAGCTTTTTTTCAATATGTAGAGTGCTTATAAGGAATACAGGTAGGATTACAATATTTTTTAATATTTTATTTATTTCAGGTACTTCTATAGCTCTGTCATTTTGCTTGGCGCTTTGCATATATATTGTACATTCATATCAGTCCCTAACCCTTAAGGGGCGTACAATCTAAGATCCCTAACTTACATTCATACGTACACATACTAGGGACAATTTAGACAGGAGCCAATTCACTTACCAGCATGTCTTTGGAGTGTGGGAGGAAACTGGAATACCCTGAGGAAACCCACACAGGCACAGGGAGAACATCCAAACTCTAGGCACGTGGTGCCGTGGCTGGGATTCGAACCAACGACCGTAGTACTGCCAGGTGGAAGTGCTAACAATTTAGCCACTGTGCTGCCCAATAAAATGGAAAAATATAAACATGTATATTCCTAGATAACAATATAGAGTGCTGTGTATGCACTCTTGCAATGACCAATGCTTTGTCCACCTACTTCTCCACTGCCTGATGCCGCATCTGTTCACTGTGCATTTCTTCATATATTTTTATTCATCCTGTTAAATTTAAAAGACACCCTTTTGCTGGTAAATATTAAATGCAAAACAACACCAAAGATATCAGGTAGAACTGATAGCCTGAAAAATCATTCCATGGATTAAAGCTATCCTCTGTTTAAATGTAATTCTGACGTATCACAAGCTCTATTGGGATTAGGAGGATATCCACACACTACAACTGACTTATTGGTGCATATAAAAGTTCCTTGCTATTTTTTTCAATGTTAAAGGATAAATTCACCTTTTGGGAACATGTTCCACCTATTTTTAGGGTAGAACATGTAACATGTTCCCATAGGTGCAGCCGCGCCCGCCGACTGCCCCGTAGAGGTTTCCCTGTACTATCTGTCAGATGTGAAAACAACGTGGCCCGTGCAGGGCTCCACCCACACGGCCACGTCAATCATTCACAGACTTCCGTGAATGAACTGCAAGTCACGACAGCCTTAGAGGCTATGGGCTTGTAGTTTTCAAAGAACTACCACAGCGCTGTGGAGCACGGTGGTAGTTCATTGAAGATTCCTGTCAGAATATCTGCTTGGCCGCAGATATTTTGAAAGGTCTACAGGAGACCTGCATGGAATCAGCGATCTACTGATCACTGGTACAATGTTTTCCAGGCTCCTGTAGACAAAAATAATTAATGCACATTTTTTTTTCTAGCTGCAAAAAAATGTGCATTTATTATTTTTGTCCAAATTTGAACTTATCCTTTGAACTCATTGAGCAACATGGTAGCAAGAGAAGTAGACTCTGACAAGGAGTGTATGCGTTCTTATCACAAGCTACCATAAAAAGATAATGGATATCCAAGGTTAGACATCCCATACCTGTACCGTACATGAAAATGTTTTCATGTCAATAATTGACAAAATTTAGTGACAACTTTTATTATGTATATTAACAGCTAATCACGCCTTGTTACTATATGTATACAGTAGTAATAGGTATTCTGACAGTCGGAGGTGTTTAATAAATAAATAAAAAAAAATATTTAAAAAAAAAAATACAGTGTATGTTGTGCTTTGAACTTTTTTTCTTTCACACTTTGCAGAGATGGCTGAACCAGTCACATCGATTCCTGTGTTTCAAGTTCACAGCTTGGTTTTCAGTAATCCCTCTGCTTTTTACATTATACAGCAGTGGTACATTTTTGTTTATTAATTTCCTAACATTAGGAATAAGAAAGTAATAGCCATATCTGAGCTGTGTGTTCTGGAAATGCTGGCCTGGGAAGAGAGTCCTGGGTGTCTCAGTGACAGAAGTTTTACTTTTTACAGGACTCAGTGGCAGAATCTGGTACAGTGGAGAAAATGTCAGAGGACCAGGTGGAAACATTGGCTCACTATGAGCAATTGGTGATTCAGCTGAAAGAGCTTATACAGCAAAAGGATGCAGAGATCCAGCAAAAGGATACCGATCTTCAGCGGAAGGAAACACAACTTAAGGTACAAGAGTTTGCATCACTGAACAATAGATTTAAAAGGAATACAGTATCTCACAGAAGTAAGTACACCCCTCACATTTTTGTAAATATTTTATTATATCTTTTCATGTGAGAACACTGAATAAATTACACTTTGCTACAATGTGACGTAGTGAGTGTACAGTTTGTATAACAGTGTAAATTTACTGTCCCCTCAAAATAACTCAACACACAGCCTTTAATGTCTAAACCACTAGCTACAAAAGTGAGTACACCCCTAAGTGAAAATGTCCAAATTGGGCCCAATTAGCCATTTTCCCTCCATGGTGTCATGTGACTTGTTAGTGTTACAAGGTGTCAGGTGTGAATTGGGAGCAGGTGTGTTAAATTTGGTGTTATCACTCTCACTCTCTCTCTCATACTGGTCACTGGAAGTTCAACATGGCACCTCATAGCAAAGAACTCTGAGGATCTGAAAAAAGAATTGTTGCTCTACATAAAGATGGCCTAGGCTATAAGAAGATTGCCATGACCCTGAAACTGAGCTGCAGCACGGTGGCTAAGACCATACAGCGGTTAACAGGACAGATTCCACTCAGAACAGGCCTGGCCATGGTCGACCAAAGAAGTTGAGTGCACGTGCTCAGCGTCATATCCAGAGGTTGTCTTTTGGAAATAGACGTATGAGTGCTGCCAGCATTGCTGCAGAGGTTGAAGTGGTGGGGGGGTCAGCCTGTCAATGCTCAGACCATACGCTGCACACTGCATCAAATTTGTCTGCATGGCTGTCGTTTCAGAAAGAAGCTTCTTCTAAAGATGATGCAAAAGAAAGCCCACAAACAGTTTGCTGAAGACAAGCAGACTAAGGACATGGGTTGCTGGAACCATGTCCTGTGGTCTGATGAGACCAAAATAATCTTATTTGGTTCAGATGGTGTCAAGCGTGTGTGGTGGCAACCAGGTGAGGAGTACAAGGACAAGTGTGTCTTGCCTACAGTCAAGCCTGGTGGTGGGAGCTGCATGAGCTTTCATGGTCTGGGGCTGCATGAGTGCTGCCGGCACTGGGGAGCTACAGTTCATTGAGGGAACCATGAATGTCAACATGTACTGTGACATACTGAAGCAGAGCTTGATCCCCTCCGTTCGGAGACTGGGCTGCAAGGCAGTATTCCAACATAACGACCCCAAACACACCTCCAAGATTACCACTGCCTTGCTAAGGAAGCTGAGGGTAAAGGTGATGGACTTGCCAAGCATGTCTCCAGACCTAAACCCTATTGAGCATCTGTGGGGGTATCCTCAAACGGAAGGTGGAGGAGCGCAAGGTCTCTAACATCTACCAGCTCTGTGATGTCGTCATGGAGGAGTGGAAGAGGACTCCAGTGGCAACCTGTGAAGCTCTGGTGAACTTCATGTCCAAGAGGGTTAAGGCAGTGCTGGAAAATAATGGTGGCCACACAAGATATTGACACTTTGGGCCCAATTTGGACATTATCACTTAGGGGTGTACTCACTTTTGTTGCCAGCGGTTTAGACATTTATGGCTGTGTGTTGAGTTATTTTGAGGGGACAGAAAATTTACACTGTTATACAAGCTGAACACTCACTAATTTACATTGTAGCAAAGTGTCATTTCTTTAGTGTTGTCACATGAAAAGATAGAATAAAATATTTACAAAAATGTGAGGGTGTACTCACTTCTGTAAGATACTGTATATAGTTACTTAAAGTAACGTTAATGTTAAAATTTAAAAAAGCAGTCCCTGCCAGTGCTGTAGGCTCCTCCTCTCCTTCGGGTGTCTCTTGTTGCCTGATGGTAAGGAGGCACATGTTCATGCGCTCTTCCATTGCGCTGACCAGTGTGTGTCCATAGACACCCACATCACCAGAGAGCCACACCCCCTCCTCATTAGTGTTTGACTGACAGCTGCAGGAGCCTATGGCCCTGCTGCCCTCAGTTTCTTTTGTAAGAAAACAGGAAGTGAAGCTGATTGCAGGATAGGTAGTAAGGTGTTCTTTTGTACCATAGTGCAGAGAATGCATTAAGTTAAAAAAAAATGTTTAGACTTTAAGGTAGTATGCATGTAAACATAACCCTGTTATTTTATCTTTTTTTATGCTGTACTATTGCTAACTGTAAATATTGTTTCCCTTACATTAGGTTATAAAAGACAAGAAATATAAAAACCAGAACAATTATACCCCCAAAAAAAACCCCTTTTTGGAAAGTAGACACCCAAAGGTGATCTAATTTTTTCCCTTTATTTTTTTTTTTTTTTTGCGTGCGCTATACTCGTGTTTACGCAACCCATGCACAGCTATTCATTGTCAAAGGATGACTTTACGTCTTTCCACATGGGGGAAGTATACCAGAATTTATATTGCATGGCTGTAGACATCTATGTGCAAGTGGCCTGAAATGTTTATATGTAAAACAATGTTTTTCGATCTGTTTTTACTGCATATACAATAAAAGTTCAACAGTTTAAAAAATTATCTAAAACAAATTTAGAAAAATAAACAGTATCATTTTTTTTTTCTTCTTTTCTTTACAGTATTTAAAATCCACCAGTATGCCTACTATTTCATCAAGCACCTAATATAGACACATTAAAGGTGTGCAAATACAGTGACTTTGTTTGCACAAACTTCTAAGCAGCTATATTTTACTTCACACTTTGCAGTTTTTTTTTCCATCATATCCTCTTGCATTGTTTGCATATCCTGGAAAGCATTGCTTTCTGTGATGTGTATGGTAGTCAACAGAACTAATGTTCCCAGTGGAAGATTTCCCATCTAATCTCCCAAACACCAACACTGAAAAAAGTACAAACAACAATCCAAAGATGCCAAAGTACCCCAAGGGTTTTATTCAAATGATTGTACCCATATACCCTAACCCCAGAATAAAATCATCAAAGTTAAAATAGATCAATCGTATCACCTGGAACCTGCGACCTGCATTTTGAGGTGTTGTTAAACTTTTATTGACACCTGCTGCAGATTGCAGAAGTAGTGCATTTTGCATGCGGGTTGAATTGCACAGGGACGCACAGCACGATTCAGATGTGGGCATGCTGTGAACCAGTCGTTAATCCATTTATGATGCGTTTTGCATTTTGGGAGGTGCCTGTTGTCTTACGGGAGAAACCAGCAAAAATGCAGTAGAAATGCATCAAAAACGCAAACACTGTTGTGTTTTTTTTTTTTTTAATGCATTTCCACTGCCTTTTCATTGAAGTCTATGGAACCAAAAATGCAACCTGCTGTCGCAACCTGACCCTTTTTACAAAAACGCACCGGTGGAAAACACATAGATGTGAACGTGACCCATAGGATACCATGTTAAATGAACTATAGTGCGTTTCTGCAAAACTGAAAATGCCCTGAAAAATGCCATAGGTGTGAACCTGGGTCTAAAGAGATGCTGTCAAATTTATCTTTGGCTGCATGTCTTCGCTAAGTTTTTAAATACATTTTTACAAGACATTTCCCCACTCAAATCAACATTTTTAAGTAGGTTTATGATTTTGTGTTCATAGCAGTCTTGGGCCTCAGGATGGACACCTCTGTTCTAGGAAATCAACTGGTGGGGCAAAGTGTATATATAATACTGCAATTTTTTTGGACATTTTCTATACAAACGTTTTATACCGTTTCAGCAATTTGCAGCCAAATAATGCAGTACATACTGGTATAAGGAGTAGTCATAAAGTAGATCCATACAGAGTACAGCAAACAGAAAGTAGTTGGCTGGGTGCAACAGTGCTATGAGGTAAGATATAAGTGTACCACTTCAAAAGAAAACATAAACATTAAACAAAGAAAGATAAAATCTTAGCTCTGAAGGTTACTTGAGGAATAGGTTTCCAAAGTATGGGTAATCCAAAAGTTACAAAAGGGGATATAACCTTGGAGGCTGCTGGCAAAAGAGAGGGTATAGAGTGTGGAGAAAGAAAGAGACACAGAGGAACGTGTTAGAACAAACACAAAAGAAAAGAGTTACTAGAATTAGATGAAGGGGAGGAGGAGTCCCAGGGGGTTGAAAGAGGAATTTAATTAAAATGTAAGTCTTGAATCTAGATATGCCAACATGTGATATCCAGAGTAGACAGTTTTAGGGCATTTTCATCTGCATTTTTCAGTTTTACAGTAGTGGTAATTATGTTCCAACACTTACGGACAATGAAAAGTCTGCATCTATGATATTATGGATGTGCATGCATCCTTGAAGCTGTATGTAAATCTGACAATCCAACTGTCGGCTGTTAGATGGAAGGAATCAGGTGGCTGTACACACCAACCTGAACAGTTGTTCCTCCCATCCCGCCAGTTTTCTGATCTTTCCTACCTAGTATGATCCTGGAAGCGACATGTAAAAAGCAATTTCTAGTTTCTGCTGTCACTTTGCTCCATTAACGTCAAAGGAGGGAAGCTGTTACACTAAAATTGTATCAAATAGGGGACTTTGTGCCTGCTATGTGATAAGAAAGGTTAGTGGAAAAAAAATAAAGTTATACCAAGGCACTTAAGCCCCCCACCTGGAATGTATACAAGGCTTTGTTTCCCAAAGATTACATTTTGGCTCTCCAGACACTAAGCCACAACCCAGCTAAACGCCGGAACTTCTTCAGGCAGTTGAGGTTCTGCCATTGACAGCTGAATGATTGTGGAAGGACTTTGGGCTTGTTTAGATGTGCTTTGAAGCTTTGAAATTGTAGATGCCATGTACGCCCTTCAACCCACCTATAGCATTAGGATTCTATTTTTGACACATTTGCGCACATAACATTGCAAGTACCTTAGCTTTAAGGTCACCATACACTGTACAAAGATTACTCAGTCACATTATGTAACATCAATTTTAGATTTACCAAAAGTGTAACGTGTGCACCATCCTAATCAGGCAGGCCCTTGCACTACATCAGGGGTAGGTAACCTTAAAGAGGTGGTGATATACCTGAACAGCATGGGAGAATTCAAAGATCACCAGCCACAGTGGCACAGTGTTTCCTCCTCATACCTGATTTAAACCTCTAATTGCTACCATGTTGCAATGTTGTGCATTGCACAGCAATCATGGGTTTGAATCAGGTGGTGAGGAGGCAACATATCGCCTCCTCTCCACATTCTAAACACACTCGGATCGCTTCTCAGAGGAGCAGCAGTGTCTCCTGCACTTGTAAATGAGCCCTTAGTTAGCGGCGCCCTTACGGCTCGTTCACATGTAAAGTCGGGCGTGCTAAAACCTTGCGATTGAGTTGCGGTTTTTTCACCCCCTACCCTCTTTAGTTGCTGAGGCAGCAGCCAAAGGTGTACACATGCCGCAGCAGGAATTAAACCCCCTGTTGCTTTTGGTGGGTGCTAGCACCTGCCAATCGCGACCCATTCAAGTATATGGGGCCACTCTGCAAGCGCCCATAACTGTATGCTTCTGCGGGGTCCAAGGGGTTAAAGCAGGTGGTGAGAACACAAAACAATGCTGCCTGCTTTAACCGCTTGTTTGCTGTACTGCCCAATGTTGGAGGGCACTTGCAGAGCGGCCTCATTCACTTGAATGGGTCATGCTTGGCAGGTGCTATACCCACCAATCATGATGGCATATAACTCTTACTTTTGGCTGATACATCACTAACCACTCTAGCTAAAGGGGGTGCTATTGAGGTGGAGGTGGTAAAAACACATCTTAACTATGGGGTTTAAATACCAGCGCAGTACATCTGTGACTTTCCTGGGTAAGCAAGCTTCATTTTGCCTTAGATTTCTATTCTATCATGCAGGAGTTTTGGTGCGCTTTCAGAAAGTGTGCCAAACCACAGGATATAATAGAAGTTTATGGCTAAGCACAGGAAAGCTGCATGAACATTTAACTGCATCCGCGGTGTGTGTAAACTGCAGCACATCCATGTGAAAGCAGCACTATACTATTATGCCCCGTGTATCGCTTCACCCTGACCTGAAGATCTCTTCTTTCCTGCTGCTGGCACCACTCTGGAGACCGCAAGCCAGGATAAGAGGTGAAGTGCAATTGGTATCACTCCACATGGGACAGGATCCAGCACTACAGAGGAGGCATCAGCTTATGCAGCTCTTGCTCCCTACTACAGCTCTAACTAGTCCCTCTGCATTTCACTCTGATGCTCTGGGATGGCGGGTCAGCAAGCCCAGACTTTGTCCTACCAGTCATCTGGCTGCAATCTACTGGTTGCTGACCCCCACACTACATAGTTGTTGGATCCACCTGATCTTGATCTGACAGGTTTGTTTTAACTACTGTATTAACTATGGTTTATTTTTTTTTATATTTTTTTTTTTAAATATATTTTTGAGTAGACCGTATTTAAATTATAAACAATGTTTCATGTTTGCTCCTAATGTGTTTCAGTTGGAAAAGGAAGCTTCTGATGCAAAAATTTCCAAATTAAAACTTCAAGCAAAAGCCAAACTGAACACCCTAAACAAACAGATAGAGGAGCTCAAGAAAACAGCGACTAGCCAGGTAGGCTTTTGTCCGCTACAGTTTCACCTGCATGAGCAGACCTGCAAAGTATAAATGTAGTGCAGTATTTTTTTTTTAACATTCACTAGGTGAGCTTCATGCATGAAATGTCTAATTTGAAGAATAGTCTGCATTTCTCCCCAGCTATAATCATTCAGCTTTTTACCTTCCTGTTGCTAGGGCAACATAAAATAGGAATGGAAAACTGGTTGCTGGGAGAGAAAAGCAGATCTTTCGTTCTTCCTTGTTCTGAAAGCAGAACTATACTTGTCTCTATTCCAACGTATACGGTGTCCACAAGCACCCTTACACCTTTTGGCTGGTTTTCTTCTGGGTGTTGGTCCTTGGCCATTTTAATTGACTAGGCTGGGATGACATCGCTTCTGCATATGTGCGAGAGTTCATCTCAGCAGATGCTGTCATTGTACGCTGAAATGCGTGCGCTCAGCTCAATGTACATTGCCATCATGTAGGTAAGAATACTTTAATGCAGAAGAGACATAGTATGTCACTTCTACGTTAAAAATCCTGCATGTTCACAAATACTAGGAAAAGTTCCTCTTTAATACATAAGGATTCTCTGCTCTGTCATATCAAATTGTTCATACATTTCCATTGTTGCCATTCAGGTAAATCCAGATGGAAATCAAAATTCTTTTAGTACGGGACCAAAAGAAACATTGCAAAATGTGCAGAACAATGAG